GCCTTGATGCCTCTGACGCGATCACGTATTAGTGTCGATTGAGCTTCAAGCTCGCGCGTGTTGCTGGGCGTACGAGCCTGCCAGAGAGCCTCTGGTAGAATAGCTGGTGGAGTAGGCGTACGCAGCTGCACGTCAAGCTTTGATAGCACAGTATCTGGCTGGAGAGGAACAATGCCTGCGCCTCGAAAAGCTGAGCAGATATTGGCTGGCGTAAAGGATCGATCAAACGCCACCTTGAACGCTGGCAGAAACTCAAGCTTAGTGATGTGGTTGATGTGGTGACGGATTAGACTCTCCACCTCGCGGCTGTACGCGCGCTTTAATGGCGAGAAGCAGCCAACATCAAGAGGCTGGAGTAGGTGAGATGAATGAGGCGGCATACAGAGAGTGTAGATATTCTTCTCCTTGCAGAACTCTTGGAATTCAAGAGAGTGGTGGCTCTCGTGGCCGTCAAGGATAAGTAGACGACGTGTACCAACAACACGAGTCTTCGTGTGGGCGTCGAAGTGCTTTATCCATGCAACACCTAGCTCGTTGTTCGTCCAGCTATTGTCGCTGACTGCGATCACCCAGTCGCGCGGGATCTCTGCCTCCTCGTACCAGGCAGATAGGTGGTGCTTGCCAGTAAAGATCAGAAACGGTGGGATAGACCAGCCAGCTGCGTTAATCCCAGCGATGAACGTCACCCACTCACGACCACCTGGCTGGACAGCTTTTGGTCGGGCTCTTCTTTCTGACGCTGTAATGATGAGCTGAGTGGTAATCTTGCCTATTGAGAAGCCAGCTTCGTCAAAGTTGTAGACGTCTTCGTCACAAATACCGTACTTGGCCTTTGTCTGCTCTATAAGCTTAAACCAGCTCTTAATTAAGACTGAATCTTCACATAGAGCTCTCTGCCTATCGTACGCCCGATTAAAACGCGTCGCAAGTCTGTCTGTACGCTTAACGAAGTTGGCTGGCCACTTCTGCCCAACCTGGCCAGCACCACGCGCAGCTAACAGTCTATCGGCTATATCGCGCACAGCTACGTAGGTAGGCGAAAATCCGCGTAGATCTAGATCAAGTATATAATTAACTATTACCTCCTCTTCTAGCTTGGTAAGCTTCTTTGAGTTGGGCTGGTAATCGCGTCGGGCAGGCTTCCCATTGCGCCTGTTCTGTAGCGTTGATCGTATCACATTAAATGTTGCTGCTGCACGTCGGTTGCTCTGGATTTGATAAGCATTAAGAGAAGAGATAGCAAGCTGAATATCTGTTTCATTTGAAGGCATTTAGAATATACTGCGTGGAGTGGTTGTGTATAGAGTTAAACCGCGTGCGCAAACTTGGTGGGGTGGCCAACTCGCTTGCCTGGCCAACTCGCTTATCCAGCACGTTATCTAACAATGCCTTTTTTCTCCCCAAGCTTTATATCATTTTGTTTTATCAAGACTTAGATTTGCTGTCAGCTTAAAAAGTTGAAGCATCGAGTAACATGCTTTTACAAGTAGAATGTATAGCAATACGGTACAATACAAAAGTAATACTAGTCTGCTTGGTAGCTGATATGATGACTTTGATGATTGAAGTGACATTTGTCTGTTATTAACGGGTTGACGTTTGAGTCGCGGTCCAGGATGCGGTCCAGGGTGATGACGCATGGTCCATAGGCATCATTTCGCGCTAGTGGCCCCTCAACGCGTTCGCGTCTCCAACGCTGTGACGTTTCTACTTGTCGATTGCTCGCCACCCGTTGCACCATGACGCCTCGCACGCGAACCAGCAATCAAGAAGTCGATTTCAAAGTGTATTACTCGAAGAAAGTACCGCAGCAAATACACTTTCCGCATAAGAGTAAGACGGTGCGTCGCCGCTCTGCACCCGTACGCGATGACCAGGAGAAGCGGCAAATGGTGTTTCTGCCAGATAATATGAGGAGGCAGACAATAGGCGTTGTTAGTGACTCGGATGATGACGGCGGGAATGTTGACACGGATATAGAGGAGCATGCGGAGGGGAAAACTACGGACAAGTCGAAGCAGAAAGGCAGGAAGCGAGATACCAGCATCATGCATGACGAGCAAGATAGCGAACACGACGATTCTATTCCACATGAACCCAAGCGTCAATGCAAAATTGCGTCGTCAAAGAACCATCATCGTACACGGCGCGTTCAGGGCACATCTGACAATGAGGCGAACAAGATGGATGGAGAGCGCGCACTGAGAAGGCAGTCAACCATGACGCAATTGGTAGACGGGCGAAAACCTCTGCTGGGCGTTGAAGAGCCTGGTTTTAAGCCTGTCAAGAAGACACCCCGATTGAGTTGGGGAGGAAAGGGCAAAAGTGACAAGAGAAGCAAGGATCAGAAGCAGCGGACTCTGACACAAATGGTGCCTGGAATGCGCTCGCTCGAGATAATGTCAGATGACGATATGGATGAGGCGCTTAGTAGTGTTGAAGCCGAAGATAAAGACAGTCATGCGTATGGCCATGCTGTGGCACGGCGACTCGCACAGCAAGGCCTGTACCAGACAGGGGACAATGATGGCGCGGAGGTGACTACTGAAAAAGTTAAGGAAGACGCAAAATCATTATTGATTGAAGAAAACGTGCATCAGTTTATGGCAGATTCACAAGACGTAACCGGGTCTGTATTGCAATCAGTAGAAGGTGACTGTAACGACAGTTACAAGCCAACACAATTCATTGAGGCTCCTTCCAGAAGGTCAGGCAGAGTGACCCGACGGAATACGGTGGCACAGGCCCCAAAAGTAGGAGAAGCCTCATCTGTCCCACGCAAATCGGAGAGATCAGCCAAGGCCCGATTCAGTCTCCTGTCTACCCCCGAGAAGCGACGAATTTGTGAGATACCATCTTCCCAATCACCAGCAGACTCGCCGCTGTCTACCCAGTTCACGCCTCACAAGCTGAATCAGTCGCCGCTAAAGCAATGCGCGACAAACTTTAGCAACAATGCTGTAGAAACCCCGTCAAAGCGGAAGCAAGTGAGTTTCGAAATGCCGTCTAAGACTCCCATACCTCCACCAAAACTGAGGAGATTTGAGAGCACCATCCAGGACTCCGAAGATGAAGATGACGATGCTATTGAAGAAGACATGCCTCTGCCTAAACGGGCCAAGCAAGAGTTTGACGAGGACGTGGGACTTTCGGCGCTGGATAAAAGCGTTGGTACGGACACTCAGGCTATACTTAATCAAATCGATCGCGCGTGTGCCGAGGCCAACGACACCGGTGATACAGTCTCGCCAGAGTCATCGCTGGAATCAGACAGTCTTCCTGTTCTCCGAGGCTACAAAGAGCCCTCACCCGAATTAGGAGACCTTCATAAGCAACCGCATAATCAAAGCGAGTGGGCCATTCAAAAGGATCATCTAGCTTACCACGATGAGCCAACTCGGATCAAGCAAGAGCCTGGAAGTACTGAAGCTGAGCTACCTACACAGACCAAGCAGCTTCATTTGACACCACCGATCCTCGAGGCAGATGTCCAGGACACTTTCCCTTCTACTTCTATGGCTATGCCTGAAGATTCTTCTGATGAGGAGATTTCACTTAAAAAAGAGTCAAGTCCATCACAATCGGACAGGCGACCTTCCCTACAGTCTATATCAGCCGGCATGCATCAATCCATGGACCTTGACGGCGAATTCGTCCAGGTCCCCCGTTCCCCATCTCCGCAGCACGAGACTCAAGAATCCCATTCAAGCAAGGCAGAGCAACAGCTACAGGACGAATGGCTCTCGTACTCACAGTACGTGAATGCACAGCCTTCCAAATCATCAAGCCTGCGTGTCATACCCGACGCATCTAACTACAACGACACGCCGCTACCACGTCTAAACACTGCACAACCGCCACTACAACAACACCATCCATCAGGATACCGTCCCAGCCAAGCGACCACCGTCGATGAGATAACGCAGCGCACACCTCGTACCAAGCGAACCCAGAATTTCTCAAGCACACACACTACTCCTCACCGCATCGCTGGCTCTCAACCTGTCTTTATTTCGCCGGGCAAGCCCCCTCCCCTCTTCATCCCAAGTAGTTTCCCCAGCCCGGGGAAAACAGGTGCTGCAACCGAGGAGTGGAGTAGTCCTATAGTGAGTATGACACAAAGTGCGCATTACAGGAGTAGCCAATGGGCGAGTTTGGATAATTTTAGTATTCCGCTTCCGCCGCCGCCGGTTGGTGAGGGAGAGGATGAGGAGGATGAGGAGTAGTGGGGCGGAAGGTGCTGAGGGGAACTGGTTAGAAAGGTGGCGTAGAGAAATGATGAAGTGACAGCGAATGAAGTACTGACTTGGTGTATAATCGTGTCGTAGCTACATTTGACGCAGGAAGAACTGAAACATGAGTTGGTTGCCATCAAAGACGAGTCAGAGTGGAAGTCAAAATCTAAAGTTTCATTTAAAAAAAAAAGACTACCAAAAAAAATCCCACATCTTCCTTCGATCTCACTACCTTCACACCGTATGCGGCGTAAAGATCAAATCACACCGATCATGCCTCGACCTGTACCCATTCGCCTCGAATGGTTCCATAGCCTGTGGCGTTGTCTCCGGCGCCAGCGTAATCTTGAAGGCCCGAATCGTCGCTACAAGAATAAGCCTCATCTGATACGTCGCCATATTGCCTCCGGGGCACCTTCTCGCACCCACGCCAAACGGCACCACTAGCTTCCTCCTCTCCGCACTAAACTCGTCATCCTCATCCATCCATCTCAGCGGGTTATACGCATCGAAATCTGGAAATAGATCGGGACGCTGACGACTCATGGAGAGACTCTGTGTCGTTACTACTGTGCCTGCGGGTAGGTAATACCCCAGGACTTCGAGACCGCCTTTGGGGATGCAACGGCTTCCAGTGAGGGCGACGGGGGGCCGGAAGCGCAGGCCTTCTTTAATGCATGCGTCGAGGAGTTTGAGGGTGTCGAGGTCTTCGTAGCCCTCGTGCGCGATGAGTTCTCTATACAGCATCTTTTGCAGCTGCTGGTTCTTGGCGAGTTCGTAGTAGATGAAAGCTAGTGCTGAAGAAGTGGTTTCTGTAGCTGCGAGCACTTGGCCGGCCATTTCGGCGCCGAGTTCGGGGCTGGACCAGGAGGATTGCGTGGGGTATTTTGCGGTGGGGTCGGTGAAGAGGGTGTGCACGTTTGTCTCAGTGGCGGTGGTGTCTGGGGTGGCTTGGGCGGCTTGCTTGCAGAGGGCTTCGCCGAGGTCAAAGAGCTTGTCGCTGGATTGCACGCGGAAGCGGGCGTGGGGGAAGATCGGGGCGTATTGTAGCCATTCGAAGAGCCAGGAGGGGAGGCACAGGCGCCAGACGACTAGGAAATTGTACTCGCCGACGACGCGGGGGAAGTCCTTTGTGTCGAGGTCGACGGCGGAGCCGCCCATGATGATTTGGGAGTTTTTGAGCGTGCAGATGCGGAGGTGGTGGACGATGTCTTCGGATTTTGTGCCGTCGGATGCGCCGAGGTCGCGTACCATGTCCTCGATTATGTTGATGAAGGATTGGTGCGACGCCTTGAGGTTCTTGGTTGTTGTTGCGATCATGACGGGATGGCGTCGCTGGCGTGCGATGTCGTGCTGGGGATAGGTGACTGTCCAGTCGTGGCCGCCGACACGTAGAGCACGGATTGAGGTTGGTGATGTATCGAGGTCCTTTCTGATAAAGACCTTTTCCACGGACTCTGGATCATTCAGAATTACCAGGTTGGGGGCGATTCGGACAATGGGACCGTATTGTGCCATGAGTTTGTCTGCTTCCAAGGAGAGCCGGCCGTGCCATCTCTGCCATCGGATCCAGAGTGTAGTTGCAGAGGATATCCAGGGCCCGGGAATACTTCGTAGAGGGTGGATATGGGCATTGTAGATCATCTTTGCCGCCTGGTAGATGACAAGAGAGAGCAATGCTACTGACAAGACACTCCATGGTGAAGTGTTGTTGATGATGGTGTCCAACATCTTGGAGAAGAAGTGGTATACCACTCAAGGAAAACAGGTCGTGTCGACAATAGAAATAAAAAGACTATGGATTGAATACAAAGAGGTTCTTAATTCGATATTTGAAAGAACTGAGTCTGCTCATTCCAGCACTGAAGACAGTTCAATACTTATACCTCGCAGAAACAAACACCCCATGGCACAACCCCTCCTGGGATCTCCTTGAGTCCGAAGAATAGAGCCGAATGTACTTCGAAAGACGAAAAGAAATCCCAGCAGCGTGTTTCCTTGCTCCTCCTTTCAGTTACGAATGTCTTCCTTGTAGTTTCACTACATACAATCGGACCGTTCTTGGCAGTGTCAAGCTGAACACGTCTGTGCATACCCATACCCACGAGACGATTCAAAGCCCAGAAGGGACTAAGAGACGTTTGACTTTTGATAAACCAAGGCAGGGTCTCTGATGGCAAATTGACATGTGGTTTGTTGAGATTTGCCTCCCCCTTTGACCGGGGTTGTCTGTCCACGAGATTCGGGCCTTGTGCTCGCCACGATGCTGCCGTTGGTAATGCTAACTCTCTTTATCAGCCTCAACAAGGCCCGAGAGTGAGCTGTGGGGGATCAAGAATAAGTATGACAAAGATTGGATAATCACCTCCAAAAGCAGACAAGATGTGCGAGAAGACCATGAAGACAAACAACTGCCGTGCATCTGAGCTGCTCGATAACATTGTCCTGAAGCCGATCCACCAAACATGCAATGACATTTGTACGCGCAATCTCCTCGTGCAGAGGGCTCCCTTGAAGACGGTCTTGGGTCGTTGACGGTGCGTTGGGGCCTCACTCATTCGGCCATGGAAGGTCACTACCTAATCGACGCATCTCATCTCCCCCATAAAACACCAGCACGTCCCCATACTCGGAGTTTACTCCATACCAGGGCTGACTAGTGTTTTTCTCTCTAATATGAATGCGCAGATCGATGCACCTTCCCAAACTGCCTAGACAAGATGGACGACACATTCCATAGTGAATAAGATGGGCTTTCATCGACACTGCGAATTCCCCTTTTGATAGGGCAGAATGTTTCACATCTGCATACAAGAAGTAATCGAAAAAGTGGAATGGGAATCAGAAACTAGTTCCGAGACCATGTGACGATAAACAGTGATGGTTCTCAGTGGGGTTAAGTGTTTGACGCCTAAGTAACGTGAGTGCTTGGAGTAAAATAGAGTTTTAGTAGCTGAAAAATCTGGTTCAGCATGTAAGTAGTTGCGGCGACCGAAGGCAAAAGATATTCGATGATATTTCCGTTGCGTCAATGCTTACTTACAGATATGCACCAGGGCTTCCAGCATTTTGCAACAAGTCGGAGAGTACTCCGCCGAAGGCGGGACGGAACGGTCGCCCGAACTTGGTAGCTTTCGATGCACATCGCAGACACTTTGATCACCGCTGCATCTGACCGTTTTTCGTGCGAAATGCTTGTTTGCCTCACCTCGCCGTCTACTGACTTGTGGTGCCCAATCTCTGGCTATCAGAATCATGGGCACAAAAGCGCCAGGGGGCAAAACGTGTATGAGCGTTGGAGGCGACCTTCTGCATCCGGCTGGATCTGGATGGCTCTAGACGTTAATAAAGTTTGGTTTCACCTCGCTCACTCCGAATATCGTTTTTGTATGAATAGAAAAGTGGCAATACCTACCAGACCCAAAAAAAGACCTGTTGGGCCAGAAACGAATCAATTGGGTTGGACGGGAGAAGTAAGACACACTTCGATGTAGTCAACCTGATAGCCATAAAGCCGTTCTTTCTCCCCCCTCCTTCTACTTCACGAATATATCACCCAAATGGTAAATCATCCAAAAGCCCAAACCTCCCCCCCACTGCCGGTTGCCTCCGCAGACAGATCAGCGTTCTTGTGTCACTACAATCACTATCCACTTTTTCTCTCTCTAGACGTTTCGGAAAAAGGAAACTGCATGCGAAACAAACGTAATAAATGTCGCAACAACTTTTGCTACACTCACTCCAACCTGCTACCAATGACCATATATGGGAAAACAAAGCAAAACAAGCAAAACTTTGGTTACCCAAAGATGTAAATCCAAGATACACCCCGCATTTCAATTGCAAGTAAACAAGTGGCATCGAGATGCGTATACTGTATACGCGCTATTGTGTACCCGCGCGTTGCCGTGGAGTGTAAGGCGGAGATACAACCGACCCGTGTCCCTCCACCCCCCTTACTCCGGCACAACGAAACTACGGGGATGCTCACACCGATCGGGTTGCCGTATCACATATTCTGGGGATCTTAGTGCCAGAGGCGCGGTGTAAGTAGTGTTTTTGGTAAGATGTGGTAAGAAGAAAGTTTAACGTATAGTTTGAAGGGGGGCGGGGGGGTTCGGACATAACGGGATGTCCGAAGGAGCCGTAACGTGGTGTGCGTACGGGCCGTCCCTCCCGGGTAGTTTTTTGAGTGAGGGAGGGAAGGGAGAGAGTTTGGGGTGGAAGGAGAGAGGTGTATAGGAAAAGGGGGTTTGGGGTAGGAGGAGATGTAGGGGAGGAAGTGAGGGATGGGTGGATGGTTAGGTAGAATCGATGTGCGTATGACTGGTGATGATTTTTGATGATGTGTGGTTTTGCAACCGGACAAGGGTCGAAGTACATCACCACGGATGATCTTTGGGCGCCTAGGGGAGCATGATACATACGTGTTGTTTATCAGTGTTATACTACGGCACTTTGTGATGCTTGACTGTGTCGTATCTTGCCATTCACGCCGCTATAAGAGGTTCATTGTTTCTGGGTGAATAATGCTGTCGTCCATGGACTCCGAGATCTCGATGGCTATGCTGACTAGTTCAAAGAGGTATGGATATTTTCTTTGTCGATAATAGGAGTATGATTGCGGCGGTAAAAATAGATTGGTGGCGGTGCTGAAGTTGTGCTGACTTATAGTCAATGCTCTTTCCGTGAGGAAACTTTGTGGGATGAGATTGTACCCTGGGGCTGAAGTCGGTGTGTTCGTAAGTCTGACAAGAGATTGTGATCATCTGTCTCGCCGACTCGAGGTCTAAGTATATACTCTCTAGGTCTCACAGAATATTCTCTTACTCTGCAGGCGATGGTTCTATGAGTGGAGAGTTAAAGAGGAGAGAGTTAACAGCGCGATAATCTGTACTGATGGTAAATATTTGTTGTTCAACTGGTACTGCGTCAATGGCATGAGCTTGAAGAACTTTGCTCAAGTTGAGTTCGCGTACAAAGCTTGGTGACATGATGAGAAATGAATACTACAATTTTTCGAATTCTGTCTTTACACATTCAGTCGAGGGCATACTTGTCAACACAATCCGGGTTGCAATCCAAGTCAATCCGAGTCAATATGGATTGCTAATCCAATCTAATCCAATCTGGAGGTCCATATTGGATTGGATTAATGTTGACAACTTTGGTCGAAGTAGTCATTTCGGATACAATAGGTCGATGTGGTTGTTTCTTCTGGAAACCGGCTCTAATAGTTCTCAACAGATTCTTCATGCAGTAAATAACAGCACAATATGGTTTGTGAAATTGTCTTTTCTATCAGGGCGAGCATATAACTATGACATTTAACCGCACCCAGAATCACTGCCCGTCTGATGAAAAAGGAAACCTTCCTATTCAAGTCAGACCAACTATATCCAGATTCCTGGCTGACAAACCATACGTGTGCATATATGTAAATGTTTATGATCCCATCTAAAAGCCTCCCATGGGGTATGTAGATGGGCGAAGGCTAGGACTTATCATAGTGGCACACTGTCTAGTTTTGCCTACTCATAGTATTGTCTCCTAAAATACTATATTTTCTGCGATAGACCTTCCAACATTTAAGAGATCATTACCAGAATACTATCTGTTAGGGATGTTAGCCTCGCAGGAGTCATGGCTGACGCCTTAAGGGGTATTAAATCTGGGTGTGGCTCTAATCCTCCCACAGTAAACGAGACAATTTCCTAGATACACACAAAAGAGAGAATTAAACAAAAAGTCGACGAAACATAGCCGCCATTCTTAGCATACCAGAACCTATATTGAATATATAACTCTAAATCAAGTTTGGCTTTTAGAGAGCTCGATGGTCGGGATAGTAGCAACTCAGGTTCGGTATTTTCTAGCAAGCCATTGCCCGAGCACAGATCTAACAGAGAATCACCATCATGGAAAGAAGTTTAGACCATCTCGAGGTTGGTAACAAGATCAGCTAGTAGCAACATATCTAAACAATCCTGAAAAACTTGCAGGGCTATTTGAGATCGCTTATACTATCAACATTGGCTTCTTCGCAGATACTAAAACCGACCTTATTACCTCCCGTTTCTGGAGAAGGTTACGCGGTTCCAAAATTGATAGGCAATGCTTCACCACCACCGTGCATCAGTGATAACAAATCTTGATAATCCTCCGTCAGTCGGTCAAGACTATTGACCCATAGATAGCGCCGGTGACTTGGGCCTACCACAAGTACATCTCGATCCAGACATATGTACACAACACCTGCTACTACACTTCTCCTCGAAGCAGAAGTTACGGCCGTAACATTCATAGCCGAATCCAATCACGCAATGCATGTTCTACCACTGAACAATGTACATACTGCAATGACACAAAAACAATAGCTATCTTGTAACACTTTCCAATTCAGATCGAAGGGTTTATGATATGATGTCTTGCACTGTACCCTGCATCAACATCAGCATCACTCATCAGCATCAGTCACCACCACCACCAATACACAATTACCGTCAACAGTTCACAGTACGTAGTTCGACCATTCTATCCTTGTCCCGCAAAAGTAAGCAGGACAGTTCATCTTCCCACAAGATTTCTACCACAATCGTGATTCCCATGATATCGATACTGCTTACTGCTTATTGCATTGATTTACCTGACCACGTTTTGTCGCTCAGGCGATCTTAGTCCACATGTAAGCGATCTGCACCGCAGATTCACCGGTGCCTGACTCAGTCTCCTTCGGCATTTAACACCAACCATGGGTCAACGTGCTAGAGACACATCAAGATTGAAGCAATCGCTCTTGCTTGCGTCACCTGAATCCATGCTCAAACTCTGAAGGATGAAAGCCTGTCACAACCTTGTCGGCGCTAGATAAAAACCAAAAGAAAAGAAAAATTGAAGCAAGGCCATCCAGGTTCTCGGACGCCGGCCCGAGAATTTTGCTGGGAAGAAAGACCGAAAAGACGTGCTGGAATGGAAGAGCTTGCGAAGACCGGTGAAATGGTGTACAACGGCCATTATGACGGATGGTCCGTAGTACTATACATACGTAAGTACTTATGTACTTGAAATAGATAAAAGAGGGCCTCGATAGTGTTGACCAAAGAACAAATATATTGAGGCACGTGCTTCTTAAAAAGTACCTAGGCACAGGAATACTTGATTGACCTAAACTTGCTCGCTCGAGGCTGAGCAAAGAAAAAGACTATGGAAAACGAAATTTCATAAGGCTGGTAACGGTTTGTGACATGCGTCATTTAGAAGGACCTAGTGCTAGTAGGAGGGCCTGAAAGATGTTTTGCAAATAGAGTTTCGGGGAGGCTTGTCAGAAGGGTGTGATGCTCGTAAACGGTTTGCCAAGTACTCCGTGTACCGAGCATTTGTTCGGACTATTGCAACTATTGTTCCGAGCACGGAGTCCTCTTTATTGCCGGCATTTCTCTCTCTTGCTTTCGTTGGATTTCTTGCATGAATAGTGTGTTGTTCCAGGATTGCAATCTGTGACAGACAGTGCGTGTTTTGTGGTTTTGCGCAAATCACATGGCGCTTCGATCTGTGATTCGAATGCTCCGAGTATACTTAGAAGCTTCTCACCATTTTCGCAAGTATCACCAAAAACACCTCTGCCGGTCAAATGCGCCTCGATTTGCGCGCTATTCGTTGCGCGGATTACGTCGGATGGTGCAGTATCTGCACATGTTAACCGCGGTGATTGCAATTGCGTAGATAATGTTACCCCGCGATGCACATGCAACTCGTATACTATGGCGCAGACAGGCATGACTAGCGAATGCCATCAACAAGACGTGTGGTTGAAGCTCGGCTAGGATGGAAAGCTCGGGCGGCAAGGCCGCATTCCGAGATACACAATCCGACTTGCTAGGCCGCCTGAACATGGTTCTAAGGCCGTCTGAACTAGTCGACCCCCTTCCCCCCCATGCAGAGCCCACTGATTAGCCGGCAAAGCCCATTGTAACACATGGATCGTCCGCACGCGAGCCCTCGTATGCAAAGTCCGCATACCAGGAGCAGGGGTTTCGCCGTTGGTGGACATGACCTAGGCAAAGTAGCCGATAAAAGGACGATACGATACGTACGGATAAACCAATGCTTTTAGCACCTGCATCTCACCATTCGCATTCGGAGACATCGCCGTTGCAACGCAGGGTGGGCGGAATCCCCGCATCCATCAATCGATATCTTTCTCTTGCCACTAGTAGTTTGGCGTCCTGTTTCACAAGCCCAGGTCGTGTGTTCCCCACGGGCTCTGGGAACTGCTACTATCTTATTGCTGCATGACACCGCGCAGTCCTCACCGTCGAGCCTGGGTCAACATGGACGACTTGTCGCACACGCAAACGCGCGACACGATGCTAAAGGATCCTAACTTCTCCGCTGAGGACTTCGAGTACGACTCTGCGCCCGGCGCATCCCGGTACAGAGATGGCCCTACTAGAGGCGAGGTTGTCGATTTAGACTCAGAGGGCGAGGTGCGCAGGCGCTGGCAGACGCCGTGGGGAAAGAGCTTTAGGACTCGCAGGCACAGACGGAGTTACAGTCATGAGCACTACAAGGTGTATAAGAGACGGTGGATTGGGTTGGCGCAGCTGGTACTGCTGAATATAGTCATCAGTTGGGACGTAAGTTGATCGCATGCCTTCTCTTTCGTTTCCCCATTGTTTACAGAAAGGGGGCCTCAAAAAGGCTGGGCGAGGCTGTCAGCAGTGTCAGATTCCCCCTTGTCGATTCATATCTTGAGATGACGGTGGAAATTGCTATTTCACTTTCCCCGGGCTTGTCCCGAACGTGGGGAGGGAGGAAGCGCCGAAACACCAACCTTATTATAACATATGATGGAAAACTAACATCAATAGTGGCTGACATTTGCACCCATTTCTACTACTTCAGCACTCTACTTCGGTGTACCGGAGTCGACTATCAACTGGCTCTCTACCGCTTTTCTTCTCTCCTTCGCCGTCTCATGCCCTTTCACCATCTACCTCTTGCATCGCGGCCCCAAACCGGCCATCATCGCCGCCTCTGTCTTGCTTCTAGCGGGTAACTGGATCAGGTATGCGGGCACGGTGGCAAATGGCGGCATGTTCGGGGTCGTCATGGTAGGCCAGATTCTAACGGGTCTGGCGCAACCGTTTGTGTTGGCGGCACCAACACGATACAGCGACATGTGGTTTACCGAGTCCGGACGAGTGGGAGCCACGGCGTTGGCAAGCATGGCGAATCCCCTCGGTGGAGCCGTAAGTTTTCCACTCCTCTTGGTCCGCTAAAAGTGAGAGAGAAAAACAACATAACTAACAACATCAAGGTCGCATCCCTCGTAAACCCAGAACTAGGTTCCCTCCCCACCACCGTCCTCATAGTCTCCATCGTCGCCTCTGTAGCATGCATCCCCTCCCTCTTCATCCCCGCCGCACCCCCCACTCCCCCCACCGCCTCCTCCACCGTCGCCAAAACCCCCATCGTAGATTCCCTCCGCCTCATGCTCCGCACCCCCGCCTTCTACATTGTCTTCCTCACCTTCGGCGTCTACGTCGGCCTCTTCAACGCCTTCTCCAGCCTCATGAACCAAATCCTGTATCCATACGGCTACTCCGAGGACGAAGCCGGCATCTGCGGCGCCGTCCTCATCATAACGGGTCTCGTCGCTTGTGCGATTGTCAGTCCCATTGTAGATCGCACGCATGCCTACCTGAGCGCCGTCAGGATCTTAACCCCGCTCGTTGCAATTGCGTACCTAGCATTCATCTGGGCGCCGCAAACGCGCACAATTGCCGCGCCATATATCCTTAGTGCTGCCCTGGGCGCAGCCTCGTTTTCTCTGCTCCCTGTTGCGCTTGAGTTCCTCGTTGAAATCACATTTCCTGCGAGTCCAGAAGTTAGTTCCACGATCTGCTGGGTTGGTGGCCAGATCATCGGGGCTGTCATCATTATTGTTATGGATGCGTTGAAGGATTCACGGCCGGTGGATTTGGAGCTGGTGAGGAAGCTGGGGAGGGGGACACAGGGGTCGGTTGGGGATAGGCCGCCCGGGAATATGTTCAATGCGCTTGTTTTTCAGGCGGTGCTTGCGTTGGCGGTTTTGCCGCTGCCGCTCGCGCTTGGGTGGAAGAGAGTTGGGTTGGGGGTTACTGAGGGTAGGTTGTCGAGGGATGTGGATGGGGATGTGGTGGAGGATCAGCGTGCGTAGGTAGTATGGAGGCTTGTTCAACTCGTGATCCTGAGCACGATAACGATGATGATGATAATGGGTCATTCTCTTCATAGGGCCTTGTACGTGTCAGCGAGTCTGTGCCATAGAATCATGGAGGAAAGCGAGAATCGGGGTTTTCTTGTGTTGTGCCCGAGTCTCCTTATTTAATCCTTTCTGATATGCCAATCATTATCCGTAGATATCAGCACTACAGATCTGTTGCCGGATTTCTCAGTCAATCAGTAGAACCAATGTTGTTTTTCGCTTCAATTGGGTGTAGAGCTTGATTCAGATGGAGAGATAGAAGTACAGTGATATTTCTAAAAATGACTATGGTATTTACAGCCATCCATAAATGTCTTGATCATTTGCACGCAATCCGAATGGCTGACCCTGATGCACTATCTATACGCTGGTATGGGAAAGTGGATGTTGTGGGGTAGATCGGTTTACTTGAGCTGAGCAAAGAGCTTGGGGGCGGCGCATTGGGTTGCGCAGTGAGCGAGGTGGAAAACTGATAAGATATTAGCTCATCTCTCGGTCAAGGCGAGGTGTGGTGGTGACGTACATTCTTCAACGCAGTCCTCGTCGGCCTTGCCCTTCTCCTCAATCTGGCCTGTTACCCGTTGGGCGCATTCGTCGTAGTGGTGCTTGGGGCCGTGGCATTCCTTGGACTCAGCGCATTCTGCAATGAACTGTTAGTCATGCGTCTTTCTTTTATACCGCCATCTGATGATGCGTTGGGCCTAAGTGGATGCCTGCACATTCCCATCCAATAGCACCGCATCCAGCCCTATCCGAAAGGCAATTGATTCTGCCCGTGTTTTGTGCCATATTCTGCGTCTTCCAGAGTCACTCACCCTTCTCAAGCGTGTCCTTTGGGTCTGGCTCCTCCTCTTCCTCCTCGTCCTCGTCCTCTTCAGACTCCTCGGAAGGCTTGTGTCCCTGCTCATCTGAGCCGCCTGACTTGGCGTCCTGCTTGTTGACCTCGGCCTCGTCGCCGCTCTCCTCGTCGGTGCCGGAAGCGGGCGATTTGGTGCTGGTGCCACCCTGGACGGGGTGCTCGGCGTCGGCCGAGGGGTGGGAGAAGGTCTCCCAGACGTCGCTGAAGAAGTCGGTGATACCCATTGTGAATGCTCCGGGGCAATTGGGGGTCCTCGAGTTGGGATGGGGGTGGTGTGGAGGGTTGGAGGTGATGATTTAACCAAAGCTTGAATCGTTGTTCTGAACCCGGGATCGCGAAAATGGGCGGTGCACGGACCCGGCATTTGGGTTAGCGGGCGTCATCTGATTGCGAGCCCTCTCAGTGGCTTCTCGCATCCTGTCGCCATTGAGGCGGACATTCCATGTCTGATTGGAAAAATACCTAGAATTCTACCGATAATAACCAGCCAACTAACCTCGGTGCCGCTTGAAGGCTTCTTCTACGCTGACTCCATTCCCAACGTCTGCAGTAACCTTCTCATCGGCCTCGACCAGCTTCGGCAGCAGCTCGAGCAGCTCGTCCACTTTTGCCTGTGGTACTGCGACCACGCCATTCTCGAATGGGTCTATCATGATGATGTCGCCAGCCTCGACAATCGTTTCGCCAATCTTCACAGGCACGTTATGCGCATGAAACTTTGTCTCGGCCCCCGCCCCAATCACAGATGTTGCTTTGGACCAGATGGGCAATTTGGTCTGGTTCAGAGCACTAATATCCCTCACACGGCCGTCAACTACAATGCCCTCTGCTCCAAGATGCTGCATGCGAGCCGCCATTATGCCCCCCACCACGGCGCAACTCTGACCAGATGGTTGGCTGATGACGACAATGGTGCCGTTCTCGGTATAATCTGCATATGGTTTTGAGTCTGAGAGATTGGAGGCAGGTATATTGCCTGGCATCTGTGATGGGGTCGGGAAAGACTTGGTGGCTTTGGGGATCATGAGGAAGGTCGATGCAGGCGCAAGCACCTTTCTCGGCTCAGGCTTCGGAATGCTCGCAGTATGGAGCAGCGGCCCTGGACACGATTCAGTGGGTCTGTTGCACATAAAGGTTAAAGGCGCCTATACTTATGTCTGCGAGAAAGCCTGCGCCAGGAACGTGGAGCTTGAGCAGACCATCTGCGAGCTATGCAAGGTGAGTTATTTGAGAAGTGTATAGACACAGACAAGATAGGCGTACGTCGCATGCTGCATATTCATACAGTTTCTTCCATTTTGGAGATGCCATGGCTGTATACCAGAATCAAGATTGGCAAATGTATCAGGTCAACTCTATGCGATGCTCCGCGCGCAGTGATAGCCGTGGTTCCCTAACCCCGCCAACCGAGGTGTTCCGAACTCCAGCCTCCATGTTTGAGCAACTTCACAGACTTAGCAAGCATTGCCTACCTGTAGCTGTATAACCAAGCATTCATCTACTCTTGTGTTCCCGTACTGTTTGTCTCTGTTCATCCAGTCTGGGACGGAAGCGCCCCGCCGGTTTCGCAGCCTGTCATAGATGCGCTCTTTTAGGCAAAACTTTACCCCGCGCCGGTATTCTGGGGAAGAGCATGGGACTGTAAGACTTGTCCATACTTGTGAGAGCATACTGCACCCAACAACGACAGTCTGAGGTGGACTATGTACATATGTACACATGTTGCCAAGACAGAGTGGGAACGCCAGGTGTCAAGCCACGGTGGGAGGCGGAGGGCGATGTCATGCAAGGGTCCAAGACCAGACGATCGATGCGCACTGGCCTATTCTTCCTCTTTCTAGACAACATCAACGTCAACGTCCAGTGGCCTTTCGCCGCCACGACTTTTTGCTTTCACTTGCGTAACTCTATCCTTCACCCCTCCATCTGGTATTGTACATAGTCTTTGCGGCCTCTGCCGCTGCACAATCTCCACTATGGCCTTCCATGCGGCCGGCGCAGTCCAGGTACGGTTTGCCACGAATCCCGACATCGCGTCATTGAGCCCCATGCTGATAGAGAATACATAGAACGTCGCTTCTGTTACTGCCGAGCTGTGGCCAACCATGTCCACTGTCTTGCGATCCTCTTGTCACGGCTTTGGGCGAAAGCCCATGGCTGCCGGCACCCGTCAGCTTCATACTTCACGATCATCTCCGTCTGCCATTATAGCAGGAGCGCATGTACGTAAACCCAAACCCATCGCCCCCGTTCATCATAGTGATATGAATATAGCAATGCGCGCAGCCTGCTCGTCCCGAATACTCCGAATCTGCTCCCTTCCCCGCCGCTTGCGCTACTCCATTCCCGAAGCTATCTCCAGGTCAGTAGGAACAAATGCATCCGGCACAAAGCACAACTGACGTGATGCAGCATCGCGAGTCGGACTATGCAACCCTTTCGCTAGCGCCTCACCCTTCGCCTCGATCAAAGCATGTCAATACTCTACCATGTCTCGTAACGGCCCTCTATCGCACCTCCGTCAGCTCTCGAAGCCAGGAATGCTCGGATTGAATCTCATACAACAACGCTCGCTCTTCGGTGGACCTTCGCATGAACAACTGGCTCGATTGGAACAGACTGCCAACAAGCACCCCAACAGCGCACCGTCTCAGGCTTCCTTCTACTCGGCACTTATGCGCGCCAACATGCCTCAAATAATCATCAACCGGTACAACACAGGACTTTTCGCTACAAACGATGTCATAGACAAGCTTTACAACGAGGCCTTGACAAAGACTGGACAGCAAGGTGTTGTTCAGGAAGGACTTTCACCAGAAAAGCGCCAGGCCATCACTCAGGCTCTCGGGGCAAACGCCAACTCGGCCCAGGTCGCAAGAACTAAGGGTGGCAGTGGCGTTAAGACCGACCCTGTCTATGTTGTTGTCGAGGAGTCCTTGATGAACGTCATCTTCAAGTGGATCCGATGGATCTGCGGTTTCGCTCTGGCTGCCTACGTATCCCTGGTCCTGATTACACTTTTCGTTGAGACCAGTGGTGTTCTCAAGAAAGTTGGCGGTGGCACTACTGCCGAGGTTCGTCCGGAGCAGCAGAACACCCGTTTCAGTGACGTCCACGGTTGTGACGAAGCCAAGGAAGAACTCCTGGATGTCGTCGACTTTCTCAAGAATCCAGACAAGTATAACAAACTCGGTGGAAGATTGCCCAAAGGTGTCCTCCTTGTTGGCCCTCCGGGTACCGGTAAAACTCTGCTTGCTCGTGCTTGCGCAGGCGAGGCTGGCGTACCCTTCTTCTACATGTCTGGTTCCGAATTCGACGAAGTCTACGTTGGTGTCGGAGCGAAGCGTGTCCGCGAACTCTTTACTGCTGCTCGTTCCAAGGCGCCTGCCATTGTATTCATCGACGAGTTGGATGCTGTAGGTGGAAAGCGAAAGTCCCGCGACGCCAACTACCACCGCCAAACTCTGAACCAGCTTCTCAATGATCTCGACGGTTTTGATCAAAGCACCGGTGTCATCTTCATCGCCGCAACCAACCACCCTGAACTTCTAGATCCAGCTCTTCTCCGTCCTGGACGTTTCGATCGCCATGTCCAAGTTGAGCTTCCTGACGTCGGTGGACGATTGGCCATTCTCAAGTATCACACTAAGAAGATTCGTCTTTCGCCCGATATTGACCTCTCCACCATTGCCCGCGGTACCCCTGGATTTTCTGGTGCAGAGTTGGAGAACCTTGCAAACTCAGCAGCTATCCGCGCATCGAAGCTTCAGGCCAAGTTTGTGACCCTCAACGATATGGAATGGGCCAAGGACAAGATTACAATGGGTGCTGAGAAGAAAACACGCACAATCCCCCTCCAAGACAAGATCCACACTGCATACCACGAGGGTGGCCACGCACTTGTTGGTCTCTTCACCAAGGGCTTCAATGATGTTCACAAAGCGACCATTCTTCCTCGCGGACACGCTGCCGGTATTACATTCTTCCTTCCCCAGGAAGAGAACCACCATACTCGCAAACAGTACATTCGTCAGCTCCAAGTGGCCATGGGTGGCAAGATGGCAGAAGAGATTGTCTTTGGTGCTGACAACGTAGCTGACGGTGCTTCCGGCGATATCCAACAGGCCACTTCGCTAGCGTACAACATGGTCACAGCATGTGGATTTTCGGACAAGCTTGGTAATGTCGACTTCAAGTCCAACTACGAAATGGTCTCTCCCGAGACCAAGCGACTCATTGACGACGAAGTCCGACGTTTGATAGACGAAGCAAAGTTAAGCGCACGAGAGCTACTTCAATCGAAACGCACCGAGCTAGACCGTCTAGCTGATGCGCTTGTCCAATATGAAACATTGGACAAGCAAGAAATCCTCAAGGTCATCAAGGGCGAGGACCTCCCCGGTCGCCTAAAGGCTATGCCCGATTCCCCCATAAAGATACCAGATAACCCTCTTCCCGCTGCCATATTGCCTCCACCGAGGGGCAACGGTGGCAACGGCTCGGGTCCCCCGGGCCCACCACTGCCTGCATAGTTTCATCATGACTAAGGATGAGCAAAGGGAGGGGGCATTAGTTGAAAAAAGAAAATGCACATTTTAGCATGTATTGCATGAATGAGGCACGGAACATAGTGGCGTTTGCAAGCTTTTTGCCTCACTTCCTCTCTCCACTTTACCCCCCTCGTTTTTGAAAGCAAGGGTTATGAATGGTCTTATTTTTTGGTAGTTATTTTTGTACAGTACAACTTTTGGGGTCTTTGGTAAGAAGAACCTTTATCCAGTATGTGAGCTTTTTGGTAGCGCACAGAATAAGAATGAAAGATTGAAAAGGCAATTAGAGTATTTTTTTATGTGCGGGTGAGGCTTGTGAGCGTGAGTGAGCATAAGGTTGAAGTATGGATATCACGTGATGGATTCATTGCGCAAATTTCAAAGTAGAAGTCATGTTACTGATGTGAATCTTATCTATCTCGTCAATCATTCAAGTTGGGAGTTTGTTTTTTTACTACTGGTGAGGAATTAAAGTTACGAAAAAGAATTGAAAAGAAGAATCAACTTGAATATTCCAATACACACACACATCTTTATCCTCACCCACCTCCACTCCTCTTATCTACATACAGACAAATTTCTCAATCTCAATTCCAAAACGTATACATTCTTACATAATTTCTCATCTACAAACAATCGTATATCAAGGTGACTCTGTGATCCCCTATCCTCTCCTCCCCCTTTCCGTGGAAAAAATGTTACCAACGGTTCTACAGACGCTCAGTGGTGCATATTCATTATCTGACAGAATCCCTGTTGAGAGCCCTTTATTCTCTGTATGTACCATTTCTGTGACGTAGGCCATCGCTTTGTACCGAGAGCACAGATGAACGAGAGATGTGCGAGATGAGTTGTCTAGTCTGTGTGGATGATGCCGGTCAACCTGTGTTCCTATAGCCATGACTGTGGCTAGTGATGAGGAGCCACGCTTAATCTATTTTCACACCGGTCTGCACGGTTTGTGGGGGCGTACTGTTGCAGTTCTGGTTCGGCAATCAACCCGAGTCAGTTGCGTCTGGAGGCCTCTGTCGCAACCAGCCACACGCACAGCGCACCCTGTATCTCGACCACTGTTTCTGAAACTGAGCGGGGGTGCATTCTGTTTGGTGGGGATGATGGACCCCGAGGAATGCGGGTCAGCTGACGTCAGGATACCTTCATGCTGGCTGGTCTCTCGTCCACGTCTTTTCAGCTGCATCTGCAGTCTAGACTTGACACATGGGTCTTTGGTCGGATACTAGGGCTCGTCGGCAGTTCGCAAAAAGCTTTCGGTACTTTTATGACTAACACGCATATTCCCTTTCTGTAGCTCTTGAGTCACATACCCCCGTTGACCCCTCCCTACGCCATGTCTTGCAAACTGTATGGTGTTGTTCTCAGGCGTAGCGTGTTCTTGGCGTAAGCGTCGCGGGTAGTGCGCGTTGCGATGTTGCAAGGGGTAAGATACCTCTGTTGGAGGGCGTGTGAAACATTCTCATAGCCATGTCGGGTGAGCAGATGCCGACTCAGTGCGCAGTTCAGCTGAAGTGTGGTCATCTCCACATAGCCGCCCCAAATTTTTAGCTTTTGCAACGTAATCCTCGTCTGACTTTGTCCACTCGCATCATTGGGCGATAAATATGACGCATGTTTCGAGTGTTGTTTCTCTATTCAAGGGAGTCATCATATGAGTAGTGTGAGCTGTTGGTGTTCAAATATAAACGAATCGTTCAAACGCAAAGGGCTCTTGTCCAATCGGAAACTGTTCCTTCTGTCAGCATGCGCGGTTTTTGCGCCGGATTTACCGCAGATGGGCATGTTGCGAACCTCAGTGCGGTTGGGGGTGATATCGCTGGTAATCAGGTGCGGAGGTAGGCAAACTCACATAGGGATTGTGGGTTACCTGGTGTTGACGCCCTGGTGATGAGCCGTATCCATAGATGTATGCGCTGGAGAGGTACTCGTGTGATTGTTGTGATATATTTTGTGCTTGTTGATGATATACTATAGGCGCTGGAGGCTCAGGGCTGTAGTGGTACAACGATGGCTGTGGAGAGGTCTGGACAGGATGCTCAGATCCCAGTGTCCAAGCCGGTGGCACGTTCCAGGCAGTGTTTGCTGGAGGAGGTGGGGGCGGAGAGTAGAGATGCGCGTTCCAGTTTGAAGAATAGACACCGTATGCGTGTGATGCGGTACCATGTTGACCACCAAAAGATGTGGTTGTGGTTGCCATAATAGGGGTCTGCGAAGTTTTACTCCTGGCGCCTAGAGAGCTAAGGTTACGGTTGGAAGGCGTGGAAGGCATTTGGTAAGGCGATAAGCTTGAGCCTACGGTGCTGTGGTTTCTTGAATGTGAGGACGCATACGTTTCTTGTTGCTCGGGAGAAGGCTCATGTCCCTGATGGTCGTCTGTCTCATCACTGATCAACTGCTGGAGATATTGAAGCTTCCGTTTACGCTTTTCACCTGCGATAAGACAAGTCAGATGGGATATAAAGGCTGCCTTTGAGAGCAACATACGGTAGTTACGTGAAGCGATCCTGTTTTGTTGCTTTCGGATCTCGCTATTGACTTTCTTAGGCTTTACGGCTGCTTCTGCGCTCTCTCCTGATTGCTTTGTTCTCTGGCGACCTCTTTGTGATGACTCTGACGGTAGTGTGGTACTAGGAGGATTCATGGCGCCAGCAGGTACGAATGGGAACCGGAGTATAGAAATGATGTGCACAAAATGTGCTGAAATGGGCTTGCTTTTGAGCCGCTGATTAGAATCCCCTAGACTTAAAGATGGGGGCCACACTTGCTAAGCGAAACAGGTCTGCAGCTTGCCTCTGCCATCAGGCCTTTTCTAAGCGCTGCTGAATAAACAATACCAAAATAGTAGCTGGACCAAATGACAGACAGAAGCAAGTAATGCAGATTATGATCCTGCCGCCGTTAACCTTAACCTTATTGTTGCCACAACATGATGAGATCGGATCGTCAGATACTTGGGGAATTGCATAGCACATGTTCTGGGGTCTTAGTCATGTTGGCCAGCCACGTTACAAGCTGTATGCCGGTTCGATGCCGCGTAGCCGTTCAATCAGTAAACGATCCGTGATTAGTTACTGCTGTATTGGGTGCGCTAGGCGAGGAAAGCTGGAGTTTCGGATTGCTGAATCATCGTGGAAGAGCGACCCGAGCATGATCCGTCATGAAAGAGAGCAAGCGAAGCCGTGGTGGGTGACGTGGAGCATGTCGCCAGCAGCAGGACCGGACATACCGCCTGTGCGGAGGTGACGACAGATGGGATTTGTCACATGAATGGCGATGGGTGTGGAGAAGCGCATTGAAGCAGTAGGCACAAGTAGTGGAGGAAAAACGTTGAGCTACGAAGAGGCTATGTTTGTGGCGGTCTAAGGCCGTCAGCCACTAGTCCGCCATGGTAGTGGACGAGATGATGCATAAGCAGGGGTAACACGAATCTCACTCCGCCTTTTCCAGCACCAAATGGCACAAAGCTGCATGTATCTCAATGTCACCTCAAAAGAAGTCTTGTTTATTTTCTTCTTTGTTGTTCGACTTCGCCACGGAGACGGCGTCACCAGCGATCAGAATTAAGGTTGCGACAGGGCCGTTGGTAATCCTATCTAATCATCACGACCAAATATAGGACATGGTGGTAGCCTAGCCAGTCTAAGTGTTACCGACGGGAAAGTCGATACAATCATGGGTCGAGTACGGCTGCCTTGGACAACAGTGAGTCTTATCACATATTTGCTAACGCACAGTGAATCAACACTTATGATGTAGCATCAGGCATCGCCATCACGCCATTGGCCCAGCCACTGTATGTAGGAACGCATGACGCGCATGTCATTGAATGCAAGCATTTCGATCGTCGGTAACTGATGTGCCAGCGAATGTAGCATTGCCAAGACGAGTCGCGTCGACTTTATTCAACATACGAGTAGGTATTATACAAGAGCGGGCACTCTCATCCAGTCGTACGTGTGTGAGCCAATATATAGAGTCACGGGGAACCGCTGAAAATGTTGCCTTCGAGCGTTGTGTGGCTGAGCAATAGAGATTACAACTAAATATTGACAAATCATTCTGGGGTATATGCACTGGATGTGTCAAACACCTAATGCAGGCATCGCTCGCCCCAATCCTTTCGGTTGTGGGCGGAACGGTCGCCACATGGTCGCCCATCTACGCAAGAACGCCGACCCGCTGCCATGGTATCTTCGTATCCAGAGACGCCATAGCCCAAAAACTGCAAACAAAACACTATTGGTTGGCCAACACCACGGCAAGCCGATCTGCTCAACTTATCTCAGTCACCTCTTTCTTCTTCAGACTATAGGTCCGAACAATATTAGACAAGCTGGTTTTCGAGTGGCCTTCTGAGTCTTGGGTTGGACGGGTCGAACTTTGAGCTTCTTCCTGAGTCCTGCGTTGCTGTATCTGTGCTAGTGTTGTCTTGAGTGCAGAGTACAACTGCTTGTTGTCGCTAGTATCAAGATCGACCCAAAAGGAATAGAAGAATAGACCCCGGTGGTTGACGGTTTTGAGATGGCGCATGATGTACTGCCTCGCAGATACTTCGGGCTCGCTTTTGCTGGATGAGTAATCTGGGAAAAACTTCTCTAGAGGCGAGTGTGGCATCTTTCTGGTAAAACGAGTATAGTTATTGAATATGATGATGATGGAAGAGGTTGAAAATCCGGGCTGACTGATCCAGCTTTCAAAGCTTCTGAATTCGTCCATCAAGAGCGACTCGTTCGGTTGGGTGGGACTCGGCTTGTCGTACAGGGATACATCAATGGTGTACATGAGCGCAGCCGCTCCCTCAAGCTGATGGAACCAGCGTTCCCGGAATTGATCAGGAAAACCCTCCTTGATATTGAAAAGGTGAATATCCAGTTCATCCCAGTTGAAGCGCAGCTCCTTGATGCCGCGCATAGATTGGTTCAAGCGAATGATATCCGCTTCTGTAGGAACATAGTCTTGATCAGCTATGCGAGCGACTTCTTGCGCAAAGTAGGGTGCATATTGGGGGAAGTCAATCTCGAAGTTGTGGTCGTACAGTTTAGAAAACTGGGGACTCGACCAGAGGCGATCAATGGCCTTGGCCGCATCTGGTGTGATGCCTTCATTACCAGCTTCCAACTCGTTGAGTAGGGTAGCAAAATGTTGATTCAACTCGGACGGTAGGGACACACCAGTGTCTTTGAGCAAATCGGCCATGGATTGCATGAGAGAGTAGACCACTTGGATGATCTGACACCGGTGCTTGATGCGTTCATTGGCAGGTTGATGGCCCTCTGCATATAGCATCTTCAATTGGTGCATCAAAAGGTCCTTGCCACTGTTGATCTTGCCTACGAGGATGAGCTTCGTCTCATGACGGAGATTAGTGGCTTCTCTTTGCAGCGCACGGTCGATTGCTTCTGATCGATTGATTGCTTCGACATGCTCGTAGTTTGCATCGCTAGGCGAAACGTTCCTGTCGAGTGGATTTTGGGCAGACTTTTTGTTGAACAAGAGCTTCAGCCACTGAACGAAGGAGGACAGCTGCGCAAGTCCTGCTATACAGCCACCACTCCATCTTGAGGACTGTGAAAGTAGCTTGAGATTTGCAACGTCCTCTTGCCTGATTTGGCGACTCTTGTAGAGCAGAATTTTTCGTTGCGCCTGTGCTGTGCTGTCGCTTGTTAGGAATCTGATACGTCAGAGGCTGGCTGGTTAAATAACTCACCAGTGACATGCTGCAAGCAGTAGGTTCACAGCATCATTTTGCCTCTGCGCAACCGTCTGCAGTCGGCCCATGGTCCTGCTAGCAAGCGCATACTTTAGCTTGGCTGCAAAATCAGCGGCACGCAAGTCTGATTGCTGAAAGGTCTTGATGAGCGAATTCACATAGCGTGAAAGCTCATCGGACGAGTGGGTGAGCATGTCCAAGTCAGTAAGCAGCTGCGGATGCAGGTCACTGCCACTGCCGTCAAGCCAGTCCTGTATGCTTCCATAGGAGGATTTCAGGGCTGTCAGCTGCGCAATGAGATTAATGGGTGATCCATTGCCATCTTTGCGGCGGTTGTGAATTTGGCGCAAGCCGTCAATGTCGTGCCGGAGCCGATCGCGAAGTGCACCGATGGCGCTGATCAATGCGAAGACGTTCTTCTCGTCGGCCACCATGGCTGTCGTGGCCTGGCCTGGTTGTGTTGCAGAGCAATCGCCGTCAGCCTAGTCAGAGCGGTTGGTTCAAACGAGCACGAATGTGAATGGCAAGAGTGTTTGCGACTGGCAAACCGGGCGCGCGGAGGCTGGCGGCAGGGGCCGCAAAAGTCGTGGGGGTTAAAGTTGGCACTTGTAAGCCGTCGTCACGACGCTTGATGCAAAGGGTCAGTACCAGGGCCAGGGATGGTGATTGCTTAGAATAGTAGAGAAAACGAGTGCGCCCGACAGAGACCGACAAGATACCGCAGGCAGTCCAGGTGCGGGGCTGTCACGTTTGTTCCTCATAAACGGCAGTGCAGTTCGTCTACAGGGGATGCTTGGCAAGGACCCGAGTCGGACATTGAAGTGACTTGGTTGATCAGACATCGATAGCCCGGATGTCGCTCTGTGAGCGGCTGTTTGGCGCGTCTTAATGTCAGGGACGCGTTAATCGGTTACAGCTCGGGCTGGTAGCGTGGCGGCCAAGGCGGTTTCGCCCTGTCATGGCCGGGTGCTGAGAAGTTGTGCTGGGGGTACATTCCGACGGCTAATTGAAGCAAGGCTACCAAAGGGGGAGCACGGCCGGGAATCGGGTGCCATAACGTGGTTGCTGGGAATAACGTGGGTGAGATGACGTGGGCTTGAAACGTGAATTAGCAGTCAGTATATGAGTGGAGGTCAAGAGACAGTCAGAGAGCGAACTTGCCCATCCTTCCCTCCTGGCCCGTGACTCACCGGCTATTAGTGCAAACGCCTGCCAAGCCAGCTTCCTGTCGTCATCCTACACTGCACAACTCATTTTTCAACCACCAGCAATCATGCTCATCACTGGCCCCAGCAAGTTAATACGAGGCCCGGCCGCCCCATCGCTAGGACCATATATTTTTCACCCGTGAAACCCGCCGGCGGACACACCATGGCGGCTCTAAACACACTCCCAAATGAGATCCTCTCGCTAATCACGAGACATCTTGACCATCCCAAAGATGTCCTCAATCTCTCGCTAGTATGTCGCCGTCTGGGCAACTTTGCAAAGCTCGACGGATGGAAAGCCTTGCTCAAAGGCCGATTTGGTTTTGGCGGCCTCGACTCAGATGCTCGTGTCGCCGTCCATGGCCTCACAACACTATATCGCAACTGGAACCGCAAAGGCTTCATCGCAGCATACTTGGAGCCCACACAAAATACAACGAGCCTCAATACCTGGCGGCCTGAGAGGTGGAGACCCCCACAGGGGCAAACTATGGGCTATCAGCCCAGCATCGACAGCTATGAAGAGATGTACGGTGGGTGGGGAGAGCGACGAGAAGTACTGGCATGGTCGGCGGGCACGCAAATCATTTTGAGGACAAAAGAAACTGGTGCAAACGTAGAGAAAATCAGGCAACGCGAACAGGATCTAGAAGAAGCGCGTGACCAGACGTGGGCTTACGACTCCTTCAAGCACCTAAACACGTGGTTCACGTATAGAATCCCCGACAGTTTTGAAGGTCGCGATGATATCACCCGACTGAAGCTGTTCCGGCCGCATCAGCGGAATTTGGCTTGCGAAGACATGGTCTTCGGGACTGCATCGGGCGAACTGTCGCTGCTCAGTGTTAACCCTGGTATAGGAGAGACACTAGTACAGCAGTACGAAACTGGCCGCAGAGGGGTAAATGGTCTTTCGGTATCTTCTTCAAGCGTACCCATGGTGGCCGCTGCGCTCGCAGACTCGTCGTTAGCGTTGTATGCTGTAGATCGCGATCACACGTCGCATGAAAAGATCAAACCCGCCTCCGAAGTCAAGACGACATCGGCAGGCACAGACTTTGGCGGGCTATGGTCTTGCGAGTTTCTGTCTCACGACAAGATTGCCGTAGCCCGGAAAGCACACATAGAACCAATCGAGGTATATCATATTGGCCCTGGTGGCCTCATGCCTGTGCCCCTTCGCAGCTTTAGTATTGTCACCGACAATGCAGCCACTTCGCGCCCTATGTCAGTTTACTCAATACTGCCCACACCAAGCACACCACACGGTGGCTCAGACGGAGGCAACACATTCCTCTCCGGCGGCTACGATGGCCTCATCCGCCTGCACGACCTGCGCTCCCCCCGCGGTTTCGAGCAGATATACAGAGATCCAACCGATACCTCCCCAATCTACTCGCTCGCCGCCCAGGGCACACAACGCATCGCAGCAGGCGTAGCCGTCCACAGCCTAATCAAAGTCTTCGACCTCCGCCTCTCCGGCTCCCGCACCTACACCACCATCCCCTTATCCACCCCTCCAAAAAAGCCATCCAAGCCCCGGGTCTCCCCCATCGCCAACGACACCAAAGCCTCCGTAAAGACAATATCAGAAGGATGGAATTTATACCTCCACCCTCGTGACCCCCCACCCCCCACCGCCTACCGCCACAACTTCTCATCCCTCCGCCAAGAATCCCCCGTCTACACCCTGTCCATTCCCTCACCCACATCCCCAAGCCTCTACGCAGGCACCGAAGGCGCAGTCCACAGCCTGACCTTCCACGGCATCGCAGATCCCCACCCAGACCCCCTGCTCGCCCAGTCGCTCGTCCGGTTCCGCGACTCGGGCATCATTGATCCCCGCGCGTCGTACAATGCGACGGGCACGGCGCTCGTGCTGGGCATGTACGAGCAGGGTACTGATGAGTGTATTGGAATGGAGTTGATGGTGCAGGATGGGGTTACGGCGAGGGCGGTGAGGAGGAGGGAGGAGGTGGCAGAGAGGGCGGTGGATGAGCGGTGGATTGATTTGAGGGAGCGTGAGGAGAGGTGGGTTAGGGGCGAGGTGGTGCCTAGGGGGCAGCAGACACGGGTGCCAGGTCAGAGACGGGAGAGGGGAGGAAGGGGGAGAGGGAGAGGGAGAGGAAGGGGTGGGTAGAGAGAGAGAGAGAGAGAGAGAGAGAGAGAGAGAGAGAGAGAGAGGAGTGTTGGGGTTATTTATATTCCTTGGCATTATTGAGTAGTTGTGTCAAGATATTAAAAGCGAGTATGATAGAAGCTGAAGAAATGCAATGTGATACTTCAAGTCATAATACGATATTAACCACTCTCTACTCACGCAACAGTATCCGACTCCGTATGCGCCAACAACCCCGCACTCTCATCCCTTCCATGTCCAACCGTCATCCACACCCTCCCCTCACTCTCTCCATGCCTCCACCCCTGCACCCTTCTCGCAACATCAAACCCCCAATGCCACGCGAGCCCCGCCACAAAGCCCACAGCATCATTCTTAAACGTAAGCAGCGCCGCAACCGTAACCAGCATAACCGTCCACCTCTCCTTCCTATCCCGCTCATCCAGCTCCCTCACCCTCTTACCATCCCACGTGAGATCCCTCTCAAGGACACGCAAGTCCCGCGCATCGGTATTCACGCTCTCCCCTACTCTGGCGAGCTCCAGACCAGCAGCGAGGACCAAGACGCCAAGCAGAGATTTAGGGATATTGGCGAGAAGCGTAATAATGGCGGGGGAGTTCCAAAAAGCGACGAGGCCCAATGTAAATTTTAGGGAGCCGAGTAAGATGACGCTTGAGCCGCTGCGGGCGCCGAAGCGGTATTGACCAGCGAGGCCGCCGGAGCCATGGCAGGCGGGCATGGCGCCGAACCAGCAGCCTACGAGGTTGATTGCGGTGACTGAGACGCCTAGTTCCGTCACAGTGGGGGCGATGGGGTAGGGCGGGGAAGGAAAGAAATCAGTTGCTAGGGCTGAAGCGGCGATGACGGAGTTGAGTATTGTGAGGGGGAATTGGCCGAGAGAAGCGGTTGAGATTGCGGTCCAGAAGTCGTGGCTTGAAGGGTGGAGAATGGGGATTGCTGCTTCAGGGACTGTGATGTCTGCGTCCTGGGAGGATGCTAGGGAGAGAATGATGCCGGTTGTGAAGACGATCATTGCATATGGCATGCGGGGATGGGCAAAGGTGCAGAGGAGTAAGAGGACGGCTGCGAGGGCCCAGAGGAGGTTGTCGCCCCACCATGGGCCGGTCCAGGTCAGCGGGAGAAGCATATTTGATCCAGCGCTCAGGCATAACGAGAGTCCAGCTCCGACTTGGATGCCCTTGACGACTGGGATGGGCGTCACGCGGTTTGCCCAGTTGAGCAGACCTGTGACACTGAAGAAGCCTACCAATACTGCTACCACTATCCCGGCTGCTGCGTTTTCGTTGAGGGAGAACTTGCGTGCAATGGCTACTGCAGCAATGGCTTTCATAGGCTGGACCGGAAGAGGCAGACCAAAGGAAAGGCCCGTAAGGATGTTGGCCGCTCCTGTGAAGAGCAGTGTGGAGGGTAATGATATCGAATTCGATATAACCAGCGCAGTCATGAGCGGCAGTAACGTCCCCAGGTCTCCGAGCGAGCCGGACAGCTCAGCAAGCGGCTGTAGTCGGATAGTGTCGACATTATGAGTTTGCGTGCGGCGGAATCTCCGCAGCGAGTTTTGTAGATAAGACATCTGATCAAGCAAAGCCACGGCCCAAAAAAGCAACAACGAAGACGCTCAAAGAACAAGAAGAAAATGCAGGAGTAGAAAGTTCTAAAGAGGAAAAGAAGTTGAAAAGGCGCGTGGATCTAGGACAACATGATGACGGAGGAAGCTTTGGAACAAAGTTGACATGAAGGTGGGATGAGAGAGCCAAAAGACGCGGCAAGCGGGTCCCGGATGCTGACTCGTGGTTGGATAATGCACGACGTCACGGGCAATGCTTATTCGTTGACATGGCTACACTGGTGGGCTGGGCGACCCGGGAGCATGGGTTGCTCGAAAAAGGGCACGAAGGGCAACAGCAATCTACAGCTATCCTGATACTTGCCTAATACAGTATCTTCGACGGCATATGGCGGACTTGGGGCGCTTTCAACGGCACACTTGCGGCCTCTATTTGGGTGCCCGGTTACAGGGGACGAGGGGCACCGAAGGGCACCCGTGATCCATGGGTATTTACAAAATTGCCCCTTTGAGGCACACTTGTATTCGTGGCTGCATACGCCTAGCTTGGCTCTTGTTACAAAAAAAAGTACACCTACATGTCTATACTTTGGTGCAGATGCTTTTTGCGCAGTCTTTACCAAGGAATTGGGTTTGACTTGACAGGCCATGTACGGGCCCCTCTTCTTGGAGGATACGTACCTCTTTTCCTATAGACTCGTAATGTTGATAGCACTCTTCTTCGCAGTTGTTGAACACCTTGTACCATACTGTCCGTGTACAGTTACAAACTCTGCATTTACATCCAGTCCAAACTGACAGCCTACTACTGCCTCTGCGCAAGCCGACATCCGTACAGCTTCGGGACATGATACATTAAGAAAAACCATGATCACTCAGCCAAGCACAAAAATATCTTTTCTAAGTCGTCCCTAGACGCTCGGCAAACTTTCCACAGCCCCAGACTGATGAACGTATACCTAGTAGTGGGGGTGGGGCAAGCCTCGCGACGTCATGTTCAAGCTCGAAGGAAGCTCCACCAGACCTCAGTAAAACGCGGACATCTGTCGTCCGACAACCAAATATAAAAACAGCCTCTATATTCCACTGCAATGTAGATCTTATTACAGAGAAGCCCAGGGAAAACCATTACTTTCTAGTTAGACCATCTGCCCAATCCTAACTACACCAAAATGGCTGGAGACGGAGAAGACCGCGCAGCGCTCGTCAATAGACAACTGCCAGAAATGACACTATCAACAGCAGACAATCCTGTTACTGCGCCTCAGCCGCCCCCAGAGGGGCTGTCTGCAGCACAAAGAGCCCAGTACAGGTTTCAAGTCAAGGGCAACGCAATCAGTACGTTAAACATCCACATCCACCCTCCCCCTACAACCACCACTCAACCTAACCCTCCTCCAAAGTCACCGGCGGCACCGGCACCCTCGCCCTCGAAGCCGCCCGCGCCCTCCTCGAACACGGCGCCACGGGCCTCGCCCTCTGGGACCTAAACCCCGACGGCGCCTTCTCCAGCGTCAAAACGCTGCACTCTCAATTCCCGCACGCCCGCATCCTCACCATCGCCGTCGACGTGCGCTCTGACACCGCCATCGCCACCGCCCTCTCCGACACCCTCAAAGTCCTCGGCGAAATCTCAACCCTGCTCTGCTTCGCCGGCGTAGTCGGCTGCACGCACGCCATCGACATGACCGCCGACGAGTGGCGCAGAACCCACGATGTCAATCTCACCGGCTCCTTTCTCTGCGCGCAAGCCGTTGCGCGCCAACTCCGTGATCAAGGGACAGGGGGTAGTATCGTTTTCACAGCTAGTATATCCGCGCATCATACGAATTTCCCGCAGCCCCAGGCTGCATATAATGCGTCGAAGACGGCGCTGCTGTCGCTGGCCAAGAGTCTGGCGGCTGAGTGGAGTAGCTTTGGGATCAGGGTGAATTGTGTGAGTCCTGGGTATATGGATACGATCTTGAATGAGGGCGAGGGGCTGGAGCGGGCGAGGAATAGTTGGAATGCGAGAAATCCGATGGGCAGGATGGGGCATCCGTGGGAGATTACGGGGGCGGTGGTGTTGCTGTGTAGTCAGGCGGGGAGGTATATTAATGGGACGGATATTATTGTGGATGGGGGGGCTATGGTGTTTTAGGGGGTGGGTGAGCCTCAAGCAGAGCTTCGATAGGCCTGCAGTCCGAGTTAGTGTGTCAGTATTCAAAATGACATGTGACGTTGATGTATGAATTGTTCAAGTCAGTGTTCTTGCCGATGACATATATAAGTATTTCTGAGCTGCTGTCAAGGCTATGAGTAGTCACAGAGCTACGGCTACGTGCGGACGACAATGTCCTATTTTTTCTTCTCTTCCTATTCTTCATCCTCGTCACTATCTTCGTCTTCTTCGTCATCATCATCGTCGTCATCATCCTCTTCGTCGTCAGATACTTCTTGCCCAAGAGCTTTGAGACGTTCCTACAATCATTAGCATCGTTCGTATTTAGCTTCCAGTCACAACATACCTTGTCTTTACTCCTCTTCTCTTCGAGATCACTAAGTACCATGATAAGATCTTCCAACTCGGTCGTCTTCTCTTTCTCATTCTCTTGGGCTTTGCGTAGCTTCTCTTGCAGCTCCTTGATTTCCTTCTCCTTTGTGGACTTCGCACCCGACTCGGCCTTGCGCAGCTTCTCCTCTGCATCTTTGACCTTCCATGTTTGGTCTTGGGCCTTGGTCTTGAGATCTTGGTTCTCTTTCTTGAGTTCGTCGACGCTCGACTGGAGGGTCTCTTTTTCTGATTTAAATTGCTTGAGGTTTGCTTCCTTTTCTTCCTCGAGTCGCTTGACCTGCACCTCCTTTTCGTCCTCTAGTTGCTTGATCTGCGCCTCCTTGTCTTCCTTCAGTTTCTTAATCTGTGCTTCCTTTTCGTCTGTAAGTTTCTTTATCTCGCCCTCGCTCTTTTGGGCTTGCGATTGCGCATTACGCAGGCTTTCGGTGATGGTAGCCACTTCACCACGTGTCTGGTTCAGCGATTGCTCAAGGCTACGGATCTTCTCTGAAGCCTCTTGCCGAGCTTTGTCTGAGACAGCCAGTCGACTTTCCAGCTCAGCTCGTATCCTGTTTGTATCGAGCAATTTTCCGTCATATTCTTGCTTGACTTTTGCGACGGCGGTGTTTGCATCCTTAGTCGCTTGTTGCAGCTTGTTGTTGAGCGCAACAATTTGGAGATTGTATCTGTTTTCTGTCTCAAGTATAGTTTGTCGGTGCTCGCGATCCTTGTTCGCGATTTCCTTGTCAAGGTCGTCATGCAGTTTGTCATTGATGCGTTTTAGCGTATTTCTTTGCTCTTCCGCGGCTTGCTGCGTCTTGCGATGCTCGGCTTGTTCATTGTTTAGTTTTTGCTCCAGAGTCATGAGTTGTGCCTGAAGCTCTTGGATGGTCTGCTCCTTTTCATCTCTCTCACCACGTAACGCATCAACTACGTCTCGATCAACGCCATCATGCGACTGATGCTGCTCAATGTTCGGATTTCGGTCAATCGCTCGAGACAAGCGACTAAAGTTGTCTTTCAAAAAGTCTATAAAGGTCTCGTCGAAGAACACATCGGGTAAACTGCCGCCACCCCCACTATTGCGAGGTAATACCTCAAAGTCGCGCACAAGAGGGTGGTGTCGCAGCCCCGTGATGGCGTCGAGGTACTTGTCGCGACCGAGCTTTGAGGTAAGTATTGGCTGGAGTTCGCGTCGCGGCACTGGCGAATCCCTTGTTGAGAATTCATACACGACGCCCAACAGTGCTGCACACAGGCCTCTAATCAACACACGATCCTCTCCCGGTGTCAATACCGCTTGGACTAGGCTTTGTAAACTGCTAGCTTCTGCCAAGAAGTCATCTACTGCCGAGGCATCCTCGAAAAGCCAGCCTAGCAAAAGCATCAGGTAGGCGACTGAGATGCGCTCGTCTTCGCCGAGCTGCAGACTTGCAATCAGGTTTGCAGTTAATGTCTGTATACATGTGACGACTTCCTCGCCACTTTCCGCGTCGCCTTCTTTGACTTGCATCAATGTATTTTTTGCTTGGTAATCGTCGAAAATGAGATGGTATATTAGGGTTGCTGCAAACCAAATCCTGTAGGGGTCGCCAGTTGGAGGAACTTGCGGACCCGCCATCAGTATAGTCAGCGCATTAGCGGTCTCATCACCACCTTCGTGGCCACCGATAGCTCGGTTGAGGAAATGTTCCTGAATCTGCACGTGATTGTAAAAATAGGCCTTGATACACTCGCATCCTGCATTGCGCAAATCAAAAAGGTCATTGGGTGCAGGGGAGAGCACGAGGTTGAGTAGCGCTTCGATAACATATACTTGCGCGGTGCCATTTGGAGAAGCCACACCATTTGTAACGGTTTCGACAATGGGCCGAACCTGCTCTTGGGCAAAGTCTTCTTGTAGTCGGGGATTGCCTCTGATGAGGTCGGCGCAAGTGTTGAGAGCCTCGATTTTGATGGGCATTGCAGTTACAGGATCGAAAGCAATGTTGAGAAGCTGGCGGACAAGGCCATGTTGTTGAAAAACATTTTGGTTTTGCAGTGTACCTGGGCTCCCTTTGACGAGGAACATGCGCATGATGGCAAGCAGACCCCAAACATTCTTGTCGCTTTGTGGACTGACCCAGTCGTCCTCGCCTTCTACAGTGGGACGTGCCTTTTTTGGCTTCTTTCCCCCGGGAAGTAGTGCAGAGAATCGTGCGACATGACCCATCTCACGAATATTGGTCTGGTTGGAAACATTGAAGCGAATGAGAGTGGCTAGCAAACTCAGACAGTCCTGAACCACAACCCCACCCTGTGTGAGCCCACCGTCAGCATGTATCAGGTTGAATATTTTGGTAAAGGCATCCTCGAAAACAAATAGCTTTTGGAGTTCAGAAGAGGAGCGCGCTAAGTCGTTGAGTACAACGAGACTTTCGTTGCGAATGGCATCTCGTGGATCATCGAGGGTTGCGACGAGGCGCTCGATGCCGCCAGGCGCTGTGAGGACACATTCTTGGGTTCGTTGGGGCCGTGCTTGCGAGATGGCGCGAATCAGCTGCAGCGAGTACAGGCGGGAGTAGAAATCTGGCTTCTCCAGGAGGTCAACGAGCAAAGTGATGTTGTCTTGTCGCTACCATAAGCTCAGCACTAGCAGGCACGCGCACAAAAAGGAAGCACATACTTGAGAGAATTGATCGGCCAGCCACAGGGCTATTTCCTCGGAGGCTTCTGGACTGTTCTCGTCGGGGTGGAAGAGCATGAGCAGCGTCTCGAGCACCACCTTGAGCGTGTCCACATCGTCGCCATCTTTGGTAAGAGATGTAATGAGTCCCCGCAACGCTCCTGATGCGACTGAGGCGGGGTATTCTTTTGCAAAACTACGGAGGCCGAGAATGGCAGCGCGGCGGTCTTCGAGGAGGGTTGCGCTGGTCAGGCGCCCGCTCAGCGTGCTGATAGTATCCGTGGCAGTCTGCTTGGGAGGCGCGTTGGCCTCGAGTACTCGCATCATCTTGAGGAAATTGGGCGGGCTATGGCTTCATGGCAGGGGCAGGGGCAGCGATTGGGTGAATGTTCATGCGAATGTATGTAGTATATGTGTGAGGAACCATCGGATCAGCCCGGCGTCCTCGTTCAGCCAACGTGACTGCCGCCCGCACAGGTGAAGACAGCATTCACCCGTGCCTTGAAGCTCCACGTATAATTCGGCGCACGGGCTGCGGCTCGCTCACACCGCACCCTGGTCGCACGTTGCTCGGCTAAGCCCCGGTTTCCGGTCTTGGCAGTGAATCTTGTACTCTTGCGCGTCTTTGTCGACTTCTCACCGTAACACTCCACCCCCTTCCTCCCCCCATCCCCATCAATCCCACGCGCAACTCGGCCACAGCGCGCCAAACAAGCCTGCGATCTTAGGAGGCTTTTTTCCCTGTTGCTGCTGTTAGATATCGCCTCTAGCGCCATCACACAGTAGGAGGGCCACAGTGTTCGCCGCCAGGCAGTTTCTTTCTTTCTTTCTAAGGGGCGCTTCATCGATAGAAGCGTCAGTCGCCGCACTTTCCAGCCTTTTCAGTATCTTCGCAATACTACCCACACTTCCAGAGCACTAGCACACGCGTCTGCGCCATCGCCGCACTTTCCCCCATTCCTCTACGTACAACCCTCGCACCCTTCCCTTACACAGCGCGCCACTGAGCGCCTTCCGCCACAATGGGTGTTCCCGCCATGTTTCGCTGGCTCAGCCAGAAATACCCCAAGATCGTATCAAGTGTGCAAGAGGAACTGCCCAAGAAAGTCGGTGATGCCGTCATCCCCGTAGACCGTACTGGACCCAACCCCAACGGTGAGGAGTTCGACAACTTGTACCTCGACATGAACGGCATTGTGCATCCATGCTCGCACCCCGAAGATAAGCCCGCGCCCAAGACTGAGGCTGACATGATGCTTGCCATTTTCGAGTACACTGACCGTGTCCTCGGCATGGTGCGTCCCCGTAAGCTGCTCTACATGGCCGTCGATGGTGTTGCCCCCCGTGCCAAAATGAACCAGCAGCGATCGCGTCGTTTCCGATCAGCCAAAGAAGCAAAGGAAAAGGACGACGAGCGTGCAGAGTTTCAGAAGATCCTCAACTCACAAAAGGCCAGCCGTGGCGAGGACATTAATAGTCTCGAAGAGGTCGTTGAAAAGACCTGGGACTCTAATGCAATCACCCCTGGTACACCCTTCATGCATCTTCTTGCCGAGAGTCTTCAATACTGGTGTGCGTACAAGTTCACAACCGACCCTTCGTGGAAGGACATGAAAGTCATCATTTCAGATGCATCTGTGCCTGGTGAAGGAGAACACAAAATCATGAACTTCATTCGCTCTCAACGCGCTATGCCTACACATGACCCCAATACCTCGCACGTCATCTACGGTTTGGATGCCGACTTGATCATGCTGAGTCTTGCCACTCATGAGCCTTACTTTCGTGTTCTCAGAGAAGACGTCTTCTTCGACTCTGGTAAGGACAAGGTCTGCACCCGCTGTGGTCGCAAAGGTCATATCCGAACCAACTGTGAATTCCCTGATGATGGCAAGAAGCTCACTGAAGAAGAAGCTGATGCGGAATGGGCCACGTCTGAACATCAGCTCAAGCCCTTCATCTGGCTGCACACCAACATTCTGCGAGAGTATTTGGCTGTTGAAATGGACACGCCCAAGCGCAAATTCAAGTATGACTTGGAGCGTTCACTCGATGATTGGGTCTTCATGTGTTTCTTTGTCGGTAACGATTTCTTGCCACACTTGCCTAGTCTTGAAATTCGCGACCAGGGTATCGATCTGCTCATTAGTATCTGGCGAGATCTTGCCGCTGATATGGATGACTATGTGACCAAGGATGGATTTCCTGACATGCGCCGTGTACAACAGATTCTCTCAGCTCTTGCCACCCGAGAGGCTGGCATCTTCAAGAAGCGTAAGGAAGTCCAAGACCGCCAGGCAGCTAATAGGGCTCGACGTGAAGCCCATAACAACGCCAACAAACGCCAACGAACCGACGAAAACGGCCTTTCAGCCCCAGGATTCAAGCGTGCAAAGGAGACAACAGACACCTACACAAGTGCAGGCATCGTATTCTTCGATCCCAAGCAGGCCCAGTCAAAGGAGGTACGCAATGTTCACAAAGACATTATGCATACTCGAGATTCTCAAGCCAACAAAAGCGCGGCTGCCAAGCTCAAGGAGCTGATGAAGGCCAAGGCTGATGGCACCTCTATTCCGGAGCCTGAGTCAGTCCCGGCGTCTGAGCCAGCTTCCGAATCCGCTTCTGGTGCTGAAACACCTGTCCACCTTGGAAAGCGCAAGGCAGATGACATAGAAGATCTCGACAATGGGACGCCTGGGCGCAACACGCCAGTCGTTCCCGAGTCTCCAACCCAGGCTACCGAGCCCAAGAAAAATGACGATGGCACTCCAGAGGATACCATCAAGCTCTGGGAAGAAGGCTACGAGGAGCGTTACTACGAGCAAAAGTTTGGCGTTGCACCCAACGACATTGCCTTCCGCAACAAAGTCGCACGCCAGTATGCTGAAGGTCTCTGCTGGGTCTTGGCCTACTATATGCAAGGCTGCCCTTCGTGGACATGGTACTTCCCTCACCACTATGCCCCATTCGCTGCCGACTTTGTTGGTCTCGAAGACATGGACCCTCGCAAGCTATTTGAGAAGGGCAAACCTTTCCATCCATACGAGCAACTGATGGGTGTCTTGCCTACCGCATCCAACCATGCCATCCCTGAACCGTTCCGTGTACTCATGGAAGACCCGAACAGCTCCATTGTTGACTTCTACCCCGAGGACTTTCCTATCGACCTCAATGGCAAAAAGTTCGCCTGGCAAGGTGTCGCCGTCTTGCCATTCATTGACGAGAAGCGACTGCTTGCCGCCATGGCTACGAAGTACCCTGAGCTGTCAGACGATGAGAGGAAGCGAAACGAATTTGGAAAGGAGACTCTCATGTTCTCACAAGAGTGTAGCCTTTTTGATGACGTAGAGAAGGCTCTGTATCGCAAGGGCCAGCAAAAGTACAGGATCGATCCCGCTAAGAGTCGAGCGCTTCATGGAGACGTTGAGCCGCACGACTTGTTTGTTATGGACAGCCAACTTGTGCCACCGTTTGACGCCGATGGCGTAACAGACTTTGAAATCACCCAGGATCGTTCAATGAGGTATGTCATGGTAAATGTACATCTTTAACGCCAGTCACTAACAATACACAGGGTATACTACGAAATGCCAACCGTGACCTCGGCTCGAGCACACAAGTCTATTCTACTCGACGGTGTCAAGCTCCCCAAACCAGCCCTAGGTCCTGGTGAGGCTGAATCGGTACGTCGCTCCAACGAGCGCGGTGGCTTCCGTGGCCGCGGCCGTGGAGGTGGAGGAGGTGGTCGGGGAGGCTACAATGATCGCCGCGGTAACGACAACAACCGTAACGACTACCAAAACGGTGGTGGACGAGGAAGTTACCAGAATGGCCGTGGAGGCGGCAACTGGGATAACAACAACAGAGGTGGTTACGGAGGTGGCCAGGCCGGTGGCTACCCACCACCACCCCCCAACTTTGCGCCCCCATTTCCCGGCGGCAACTTCCCTTCTCTACCTGGCGCGAACTTCCTACCTCCCCCACCCCCAGGTTGGGTCCCTCCCCCCGGCGTAGGCGGCTGGCAAGGCGGCGCTCCTCCCTACGGCGCACCCCCTGTCCCACCACCCGCTGGCCAACGGCCCGCCTGGATGGCCAATTCAAACCAGCAACACGGCGCACCGCCACCTCGCCAGGCTCCAAACAACAGTTCTCTCCGCGATGAACGCTTCTACCGTCCTGCGGACGAAATCCTTGGGCGTAGTGCACCTGGAAGCGGTGGATACCAAAACAACAGCAACCCTTACAGTGATCGTCCACCCAGAGACGATAGAGGAAACCGTGGTGGCAGGGGCGGACGAGGTGGACCTCGCGGTGGTGGTGGAGGCGGAGGTGGATACCAGGGTAATCGCAATTCGTACAACTCGAATGATTATCGTTGATGATTGGGGTTTGATGGCGGAATTTTATGCTATATGAGACGTTTTTTGTATGATTAGGGATTTGATATCCGTTGAATTTATTGGTTGATTGGTGTTTGAGCAAGGAATTGTGCTTGTGCTTCTGTGCTTGTGAACTTGATGCGCTTGATGCGCCGGATGCGACTAGAGGATAAGACACGGATGCGAGGTTTAGTTCAGAATAGTTACTTGATGTTTCGTACAATACGTTCTCACAGTGATAATTTGATGTCTACATAGTTAGCCAAAATAGTTCATAAATCCATGATACCATTCATGTGTGGTTGGAATACCTGGAGCTATACGTGATAAGTATATGAAAAAAATAGTAAAAAAAAAACGCCAACACCCATGCATATCTCAACTCACGAGGACACCATCTAGGCATCCTCACCCATTTTCACATCCTCGCCATCCGCCGCATCAAGACTGACACCGCCCTCTTCCTCATCACTTCCATTTGCCTCCTCAGCAGCCTCCCCAGCGGCCTCCTCCGCCTCCTTAGCCTGCATCTCCGCCTTCGCCTTATCAGCCACATGATTGATAATCTCAGTATCCTTCTCATTAAACAACCTTAGCAACATAGCCTTGCGATCATCCTTATCAACCATAAGATTTGCACTACCAGGATGTCTCCAAAGAGGCAGTACCATACGGAACGGAATACCTTGTTCCTCGTCCTTCTCCACGCGGACAAAGCAGCATCCGACATCCATTTTCTGGAGCTGTTCGCCGACCTCGCCGAGGCCCGTGTCGCCTTCTTTGGGGAGCTTGGGGAACATTTCGCGGATGAGCTGGTGAAGAGTTTCCTTCTTTTCTAGCTTGACGATGCGCTTTTTGGCCCAGGGCTCGAGGATGCGGATACCTTCGTTTTGGAGGCGCCATGGGGCTTGTGTGCGGTCTAGATCTTTGATCTTGTGTGCGACGAACATGACGACGCCGCAGTGGATGAACTTCATGCCGCGGTCTTTGTTTTGCGAGATGATGGTTTTCGCAAAGGCAGAGGTGTAGTAGATTTTGTTGAGGGAGAGGCCCTCTTTGTTCTTCACCATGAAGCGGTCGCGCGGGAAGCGCTCGTCGATACCGAAGAAGTCCAGAAT